AGGGTGGGTGGGTGCGGGGGGCTGGGTAGGAGGGGGGTTGGGGGGTCAAGGGTAAGGGTGAAAAAAATGAAATTTTGAAATTGAAAATATTTTTTGAAAACAAACTTAAAATTTTGTTTTTTTTTGGGGGGGGGGGTTGGGGAAATGTTTGAGGGTAGGGACAAAATAAATTGATTTTTCAAAAAAAAGTAATTGTAATTTGAAGTTGGAAGAGAGTTTTGGAAAATGTTTTCCATAAGTTTTGAAAGGAAGTCATTTTCCTTAAATTTGAGGAAAATGAGTTGATTTGGAAAACATTTTCCAAAACATTTAACCCAACCAAACATGAGAAAATTGAAAAACATTTTCCGGAAAATGTTTTCCTTCATACCAAACACACCCTTTGTCTTCTTTTCTTTTCTTTGGTGTTTGAGCTATGGTAGTTAAATTATAACCTCTTTTTTCCTCAATGTTTGGACTAAAGTAGTTGAATCACGATCCATATAAGTTTGTTTATAAAATTTGGCACAAAATTTTCACGATTTTATAAGTCGTAACCGTATTATATTTCTATATTTATTTCAACTATATAGCAAGTGTAAGACTAGAATTTCAAAATTTTATAGCAACAATTTGATTGTTCAATTGCATTTAAGCGTTACTATGATTCACAAATTTGATAGAAACATAGTGGTTCAAGTAGAGCCAATAAAGCCAAGTTCAATACTTCTCCTTGGTAAAAAAAAAATGTATATGTTGACTAAATGATATAATCATTTCAATTTCACCATCTCAAACTAGTGTCAACTCATTTAAATATTTCTAAGAAGAAGTGTATTGTTGGAGATATCCTACAAGTACAAGGGAAAAAAAATACTTGCACATACACAGTGGAGTAACATATTTCATTGATAAATCATAAAACCACGATCAATAATGAGAAGTCAATCTAATCAATTAGCATGAAAAATCATTCATAACAAAAACGATAATGTATGGAACATTAGCAAGAATTCATAAGTTATACAAGATAATTAATTCAAGTTGAAGCAGGCTGAATGAACTTAATCCACTCAGAAATGCTGGGAATTCCCTCATTAACAACACTAAGCAAATAAAATCCACTGGGTGCAACATTAGCTGATGGAGGAGCTTCAACAGTAGCATTCCACCAACCTTTTGCATCACTTATTATCCGTGTGCTCCTGAGTTTCAACAGCCTTTGATTCATCGATAGGGAATGTGTCGTAAATGGCGGAGCATATGCACTAAAAGACAGATATTTACTAGGTTTACTCTCTAGCAAAAAACGAACCAAAAATTCGTTACCATATGCAACTCCTTCAGTGCCATTGATGTCAATCGACACGTTATGAGGCCTTTGATGATTGTATTCCTTGCCCATATAGTCCGGGATGAATGCCTGTAGCCGGAGTTCAGTAGGGTGACTTGCATTTCTGTAAGTGTATTGATTATTTGGATTGCTTCCTGCTACTAGTACACTTCCATCAGGTACAAGAATTGCTGATGAATGAAACATTCTCGCGATTTTAGTGGATTTCAGAACAGTGAACCTTCTGCCAAGAGTTTTCTTGGGGTTGTATAGGTAAGGTTCAAGAGCAGGGCCGGCAGCATTTCTCCATCCAGCACAACCCCTCTTCGCACCATTTATGATTAGCACGTGCCCAGTTGGAAGAAGCACCATATCGTTCATCAGGCGTGGCCCTGGCATGTTTTCCATCTTCCATTTATGGTTATTTCCAGTGATCACCATTCTCCCGCAACTGTTTAGACCTGTCAAGAATGTGCCCTGTCGAGCAGCTGCATTCGCCCCTGAAGCTGCCCCTCCACATATCATGACCTCCACTTTACGGAAGCCATCTTTTTGATCCAGTGGAAGAATAACAGATGATCCTGTGCTTGGATAACTCCTTGACCCTATTCCGGGGATTCTTGGGAATTTCTTTACAACCCTGTTTTGCTTGTAGTTAAAAAGAATGGAATCCCTGTTTGCAAAAATGAACAATTTGCCATCAACAGAAAGGTGAACAATAGGATAAAGATTGTTTCCATCTTCATTTCCATCGTTAGTTTGCTGCAAGAAACTAAGATGAAAAACATTTCCATTGGTTGACATTTTCGGTATAAACTCATATGTGAAGGACCCTCGTCCTCCAACAACGATGATCCTGTCATCTGGGAGAATTTGGCTAGAAGCATACCAACGTTTTGCAGATAAGTGTTTCTTGCCCAGGCTCCAATCACAACTATCACCACTTTTACAAGGCCCAAAGTAGTGAATCCTTGTTGAAGCGTCTCCAAAGCCACCTGATTCAATGATCCTTCCATCACTCAAGATGGAACCAGAAGACGAGAAAGTGTCAGACATGATGTTCAAGCGCCTGATAGTGTTGTTGGAAATGCTATACTCAACAGAATGAACATAGCAAGTTGGGTCTGACAAATCGCCACGAGTGCCCTTGCATCTTGTTCCATTTAACCGATGACGTAGCTGGTATCCTGATCGACCAGACCCGCTCCGATCAAGCAGTATCACAGTGTTCCAATGGGTTAAAACCATCTGCACACCCACCACTCCAGTGTTGTTCAGCAGTAGCTTCCATGTCCCTTTTCTTTCTGCAGAATGGTGCAACACAGCTTTTGCTCTGCATGAAATAAGACAGTGCAGTAAAAGAGCTGCATTGATGATGATGCAGTTGATTCTTGTCTGCCAGAGCTTCTCCATGAGAGAAGAAAAAGAAGTGCAGGAGAAATTTTCATTGAATACCTTCTGGTTTGAAAGGATATATAGGGACTAATAGAGTAAGTCATGCAAATGAGCAATCAATTTTTCAATTAATCTTGGTCATTCTTTGGTCCAACTAATAAATGGTTAGGTAGTTCTTGCCACATGAACCTTTTGTGTGACTAAGAGAGGGAGCACCAAACATTCTTTTTACACACTAAAAGACTCATCCATTCAGCCAGAAAGGTTGCAACTCAATTAAAAATTGTGACCTCCAAGATGACCTCAGAAACTTGATGAATGTAGACAACTGTATTTGTTCAAGCATCTGAAGGTATCACACTAATTCTTCTTATTTAGAAGCATTTAGATAAGAGAATAAATCTGCTTGGACATTGTTCCGTTTCTTCTCCATTTTTGTGAAACTATAAGGGTTTGTCGATGAACACAAGCTGGAAAGCAGAAATTTACTTGCACAATGAACAATGAGTTGCCTTGAAAAAAAATCTATGTACAGAGCAAAATACTGAAATGTAGAACCTCTAAATTAAAAAGATATTTGATACGGCTGACATTGATATCCATCAGAAAATACTAATTTATGAAACCCCTCCCCCTCCCCAGTAATATAAGAATCAGAGGCTTTCTTAAAAAGCAGCAAATTATTCTTCCGCCAAGAGAAGTCACTCAGTAAAGTCTTATCCTAGTTTGAATACTGTCCCGACAGATGGGGCACAACTGCAGATCTTGACCACATTCACAACATGTCTGCAAACAAACGAGATCCAGTCAATATATGTAGTTTTGGTACCTCTACCTAAGAAGGAAATTGAAAACCTGTACAACTATACCTGATGTCCACAACCAAATGCCATGTCCTTTGGATTGGTTATGCAGATGGGGCAAAGCTGACAAAGCATGAAATGTGAAACTAATTAGTTAAAATAAAGATTCTGAAGGTACCATCAAGATATGGAACCAAATATCAGAAAAGGAAAAAGTAAATGGAGATGAATAAGTAAGAACAGAATCGAAATCATGTGACAAAATCGGTTCAGAATGAGCCCTTTATGGTTTATGAGCAGTTATTGCGAGTTGAAATAAATACAAAAAGAAACAAGTACCTAACCAGCTAACCTTAATCATACAGAAAAATTCATGCTTACCTGATTATCTGCAGAACTTGCTGGATGACTTGACCCAACAGCAGAATTGTGTCCACTTCCAAAAGCTGAATTGTGTCCACTAGAAGAAGGTGCACTTGGACGGTAACTACTGTTTTGTGAAGTTTTTGATGTGCCGAAAGAAGCTGCACCATATTGAGGAGGATGGAGAGGAATCCTATCAATTTCATTCCCTCTACGAGCACTGCCCAAAAAGTACAAACCAGTTGAGAAAACAAAATGAGCACCGACTGAAGAGTGAAGTAGAAAATAAACTGAAGATAAATCTCAGTATCTACTAGTAACAGATTAACGATGAGAGTTAAGTTTGTACCCCAGAATGTTCAGCTCCAGAGTTGCTTTGTACTGAGATGGTATCTCCATCAATGCTGACAAGGCAAACTCTGCTTCTTTCCTGGAAAGATCCATATTTTTTGACATGATATCTGTAAAATTAACAAACTAAAGAAAAAACAAGTAACATTTGGAAATCAAATCTTAAGGCAATAAGAGATAACAAATCAATACCATCAAGAACAGGAAAAGAAACAGCAGTAGTTACTTGCCTGGAAATTGTCAAAGGCTCGAGCAGGGATGTTGTCATCAAATTCCCTCATCATGTCCCATGGCCCATCTCCAACACCAACTAAAACAATTGACAAGGGGTATTGACTGCAAACAAAGATTAAGAGATTTCAAGAATTATTTGGAAATAACACCAGCAAAGAATATTTTTTTTGTACAGCGAAAAAGTTACCTAGCTTTAACAATTGCTTCAACTGTTCTCTTCTCTTGAGGGCTTAATTGGCCATTCACAGTATCTATACTTCTTGTAACCTGTAATAGTATCTCATTTTAGATAATGAGTATCTAAGCACTAGGAATTATCTAAAAAAGAACATCAAATGCATCTGGTGACAAAATAGAATATTCAATATTGTTATTATAGCAACAACATATCTACCTGTCCATCTGCTATTATCAATAAAACATGGTACTGACCACCACTCTGCTCAACAATAGTGATTGCCATTTCAATAACAGGAGCAAATGATGTTGGGCCTGTAAAGATAATAAGTGTCATGAACAGAAGAAATGCAGGACTATACCCACTGCAGACCATCAGAAATAGGCAAATACGAGAGAGAAGACTCAAGTTGGACCTGCAAGCCGTAACTGGGGAACTAATTCTCTATATCTACCCAGTACTTCCTCGAATCCATTACAAAATTTCTCATCGGGATAGAAGCTGAAGACTTCTTGATCATGTGTTGAGGCTGCAAATACACAATCAAATAAGACCTCTGTGATTAAAACAAATCCAATTAGAAGTTAGGTGTTAAGAGAAGTACCATCTCCAAATCCATAACAAGGAATTAGGTTGTCCTCATCAAATTTTGACAGTGTTCTTCCAATGATCGATATTGCTTGTTCATATGGATTTTGCCCATCCCCAATGTGATGCAAACTTTTCCGGTGGAATGACCTTGTACCTAGTTCAAGAGTGGATTAGGTGGACAGTGTGTTGTAACTCAAATATAGGTATTCTACAACTAATTTAAGTATTACCAGTCCACTCATTGCTCTTGGTAAAATCAATGCCAACAATTAAGTTAGATGACTCCAAACCAGCACGTGCAAGGGCATCAGTAACCTAGAAAAGAAAGTAAGTTACATTATTAACAAAAAAGAAAGATTCTAAAAGATTCTGATAAAGAGATTTTCTTTAAAAAAAAACAATTCACTCTTCCTAACTCCAGCATTCAATACATCATGACTAAAAAGATTTGGTTCAAAAGCATGCTAGTACGCTCAGGTTTAGTGACAAAGTTAGTTTCCCTTTTTTCTTTTGACATAGTTTCATTGATGGCATCAAGCAGATGCAATGAGTACAAAAGGTAATAACAAAATAGAGTATGTAGCTCCAATACATGACAATCTATGCTAAGATCGGGAAGCTTCCAAAAAATTATCAGGGGAATTTACAGGGGATAGATTGTACCAACTAAATAGAAACAAGACGTCCGGCCTTGAGGGAGTAATTTCACATTTACTTGCCAATAAACTTATATGTGGCTCCACATCACATGTTGGATTGACAAACTCTTCACCAACCCTCCCAGAAAATTTGGTGCTTTACCAGCAGCTTATAGTTTACAACAGACAATTGGCATGCTCAAAAAGATACTTTTAGGTGCAAAATTAAATGAATATACACACAAAATTAGTCAGAACCAGTTGCTTCACCAAATATAGAAAAGTAGGATGCAGGGGAACATTTAGACCTCATTTGTTTGGGATGTTTGAATCTGTATGGTTCAAAACTTCAGATTTTAGGTCATTAAGTGAATTTTTTTACATTAAGACTTAAGCACTTATTTGATCTAAAATAGGTCAAAATCATTAAGATCTTGAACGAAGTCTTAATATCATTAAGAGTATTTATGCATGGATAATTTGCACAACCACTACCACTTCTGTTGCCAGACACTACACCTACCACCTCTTTCATCACAACCATCAACCACCACCATTGTCAACTACTACTATCAATTGCTACATACCACACCTAGCAGCTCCATCATTACTAGCTAATAGCACTAACCATTACCACCACCACCACTACAAACCATCTCCACCATCACTAGGGAACACGAATGTTTTAATTTTTTTTATCAAATAATTATTTTAGTTTATTTTTTAAAATATAATATTCAATTACTTTTTTATTTGAATTGTATATTTATTATTCTTAAAAAACACATAAATTATACATAGTTTTAATCATTCACTGTTCAAATCTAGATACAACATCTTAAACATTCATATTCAGATGTACATTCAAACTCAAACATCTTAATCTTAGTGAAAACAAATGAGGCCTTAAGACTCTTTGGGCAATAACCACGAGGTATGAACATATTGACATAGAAAATCACTCTATTCAACGAGTCAAATCTGACATTCCTCAAATCTAAACCCTGAATGAAGAATACGCAAACATGCAAAACATATCACAGATGTTGATTCTGAGAAATTGTGAGGGAATGACTATTCATCTATCAAGGAAAGGCCTATGGAAAGATGTTGTACAACCAAAATATTGTGTCGGCTTATCTTCTTCTTTTTTCTAAACTTACAAAGCAGGTTCAACAGAATTTAATATGGCAAGTGGCAGAAAAACACAAGTATAGTATTTCAAACAATTGCATATTTCAGCATGAATTTAAGATATTACTGATGCCATACTCATTCTTGCATTTGCAACTTCCACATGTGACAATATGAATATGTTGATAACATGAAGAATAAATGCTTGCTTTCAGCATGACAGAAATCATGAAGGACAATTATGGTCAATATTCCCTAGTATCATAAACTTGCTGAAGTTTTATCCTTTTACCCACTCGTAGATTGAAAGTGTTTCACTTTACGTCTTTACCTGTTCTAAGCTGTTGTAGTCATCATCTATCTTTGAAAATTTCCTCTCAAGCCTTTTCCTTGATTCAGGAGGTGGACCACCATATGTTTGATAAGAAGGTGGCGGTGGACAATTGTAGGTTGGTTGAGTATATGGTGATTGTGCATAGCCTGGATACCCTGAATTTGAACTGGAGCCATATGATGCATATCGACCAGTTGTTGACCTCTTTGAACTCTTGCCACCCATGAAATCTATAGACCAAATCAATTCTAATAACAAACTTTCATTAGATTTTTTTTCAACAAGAAATTAAACATGAAAGATGCCCAACTTCCATGTTAAAACAGACACAGTTACACACCAACACACAGGGTGCTTGTACACAAACACACTCCCAACAGGTTGTAGTTCACATAAACCATTGATCAGATTGGTAAAATCTTAGCCAACACTAGTACGTTAAAAAGATCACCAAATCCTTATATGGGTTCAACCTGGATGATGAGAGGTAACATCTACTAAAATGATCAACAAAAGAATGTGCTGATGTTTGCAAGTGAAGAAGTAGGAAGAGGATCAGCTGATATCAAATAAAGGAGCAAAGGATTATACTAAGATTAAATAGTGCAAAACTAGACTGTTGAACACATCAAAGCTCGTCTGCCAAGCCGCCTGACTCATTATTGTGTGATTGCATCAGTTTACGTTTCTAGCTTGGCCAAGCCAGGCATGTTCACCAACCAATCAATCTCGTAAATATGACTTTGCAGTTACTATCATAGGACTAGCCATGTGTGAATATAAGTTTAATAAAGACCTATTATTTACTAGACCATTCATGTCTGATTAACCTGGAATAAGATTTATGACGTTATTTTGTTATTTAGCTATAAAATTTGTCTGTCGCTAAATATTTTTTTGTTTTTAGCTCTAGGGATGGATGAGAGATTAGGTACAAATATATAGTATCTAAGAACAACTACTAATCAACGAGTACTACTACAATTTTTATTACGTATAGTTTTATTTAAAATGTGTTAAATGTTAGGTTTGACTAGTAATCTTGCCATTTTGTATAGATTTTTTTTTTTGTAGATTCTTGAATAAATGGTCAATGATTTACGTAATATTAAATGACTAGTCTAAGGTTGAAAAATTAATACTTCCTCCGTCCCATTTTATGTGATGTAGTTTGACTCGGCACGGAGTTTAAGAAAGAAAGGAAGACTTTTAAAACTTGTGGTCCAAAATGAATGATAGAAATTTGTGTGGTTGTAAATCATTTCATTAAGGGTAAAAAAGACATTTTATAGGCAAATTGTTACTTAAAATAGAAATGTGTCATTCTTTTTGGGACTGACTAAAAAGGAAAGTGAGTCATATAAATTGGGACAGAGGGAGTACTACTTATGTGTATATCTTCCAAAAGTTGATCAGTAAGTCCATTTTGACATCAAGTTTCTTTTGGTCAGTCAAATCTTGAACAATCAAATGTGGGTTAATTCTACCGAGTTTCTTCCTATATTACCCACCCCACAACACTCTACCCATCGAAAAAGAAGAAAAAACAGAAGAGAAAATAGAGAACCCAAGAAAAATTGTAATAACGCCAAAAAGGGAAGGAAAGACTGGTTAATTGCAGATTATAAGATCAAACAAAGTTCAACAATACAAGAAAATCAAAATTGCCAAAGCATTCAATATGAATCCAAGATTATCAAAATTAAGCCAAGAGATACTTAAATTTCAAGTCACAATTATCTGTCAAAGACTTCAATTTGAATCCAACGTAATCTAAAACACCTTTTTGACAACACCCAGAAAGTCAAAAACAGTGTACAATCAGAACAACTACACAAACCCAATAACAAACAATTCCGAGACATATTAGAATTTGCATATACTCCTCCCTCACCCCACAATTAAAGACCCAAATGTACATTAAAGCTTGAAATACTCAAATCTAAATACAAATCATATTAAGGGGTCGTCCCAATTTCATCAAGAAATCAAACTCCGAAAAAGAAATGAATTAAAAGAAAGTGTCCAGCACCTGTTCAAGCGCCGCCCAGGTTTTGCTGCATTACTTGAGATTTTCTCAGTTTCTGTGTGCGCGATTCAGGAGTGGGGTAGTGGAGAGGGGATAGAGCAGAAAATGAAAAAGAGTAGGTTGGGACAATGAAGCTTTTTGCTTGTTTATGCTTTAGGAAGTGGACCAACTGATTGTTTTTCTCTTGTTCTGTAGCGTACGTTTCTTGATTGTTTATTTCTGTGAAGTCTCCTTATTGTAGCCAAATTCCCACACATGATTTTCCTCTATTTTTATATTTCGTCCAAGTCATTTTTAAATTCACTATGTATTTTTATTTTTTTTAATCCTCCTTATGAGGGTTCACCTTTGAACTCACAATTAAAAGTGACCGTGTTAACTATCCAAGCAACTATGTCTTATCAAATTGATTGTGTATTATCTTTACAATTAAAAAACTTCATTCTAAAATATGCAATTAAGTAATTAATCAATAATCTATTGAAAAAATAAGTACCTCCTTGAGATAAAGAAAGTATAAGATCTATGTATATATTTTATTCTCCTATTTGTGGGGTTATTGACTAATTGTAGTATAGTGTGTAATGTTACTCAATTACACAAAAGAAATAACTCTGACAAATATCTCAATTTCATATTGTAAAGTGTAAACATGGCCATTTTGGTATTTATATATTAAAAAAGAATGGTGTTTAGACATTTTAAGTAGCATTTACCACATTATTTGACTTTTTCAATTATCAAACTTTTGTAGATCTCCTCAACACTTTAACTAATTTCACCTGATATCAATCATATTTCACCAACAATAAATACCAACTTCACTTCAATAATTTGACCTTTTCATTTATCAAATTTTCCTAAAATCTCCTTGACGCCTCAAATTGATATCAGCCACATTTTCCATGAACGAAAAAATACCATTTCCACCTCAATATTTTGACCTTTTCATTTATCAAACTTTCCTAGATCTCTTCGATTTTGAAAAAAAATGATAAGTTATACTACTATTAAAAAAAAAGCCGATAACTAAACGTCATTCCATGACGAAAACAAATTGTAACCATAAGAATTCTTATCCTAATTAGAATAGTTATCTAAACCAATACAATAAGATCCTAATTTTGAAAGAAGGAAGCTTTATCTTTGGCAAAACTTTTTGAAGGAGGAGCTCGTTTGTTAAACTTTTAAGTTAAACAAATCTAGAAAAAGTAAGATTAATGAGGAGTTAATTTATTTCCTTTGGAAGACTTCTTAAACAATATGCATAATGTCAATTTGATTATAAAATTAAAACAACGTAACATTGGACCAAGAACAATATAATTTGGATTGAAAACATGGTTCGTCTTGAAAAGGCTAACAAAAAATTACGATACAAAATAAACAAGTATATAATATTTTAATCAAAAGAAACATGAATACCTTGGAAGTAGTTTCCTTAATTTTGCTATCGTTTGTAAAAGTAGGAAAGCTTAAAAAATTAGTACTAATAAGTACTCCTTAAAAAGTTTAAGATAAAAATTGTGCAATAATGACCTCTTTTATAGAAGTGTTTGGCTCCTCATTTTCTAAATGGTGAATTGGTGCAATAAGTTAAATAGTTAATATTGGCCTAATCTTCTTGATTTATATAAAGGTATATATGATGGGGAATTAGGATATTATAATTAAAGGGAGATACTTTATGTTTTAAATTTCATGCTTTAATTTTATAGTAATCAAATAAAAAATATTTTAAGTTATCAAATAAAGTTCAAAGAAAAAAATTACAAGTTCCTTAAAATGTTAATCAAGAAAAAAAAAATTATATCGTCATTGTACATATTATTCATGGGAGTATTGTTGAATGACTCAAGCCAATGATGCAAATTATTTTAGTGAAATTTTCTCCTCATATGATACTAGTGAATAACTTACTACGTGTTCTTATGGAATCGATAATCCATCATCAATTTTACTGTATAATTATGCATGTATATGAATTCAAAGAGTTAATTTAAAAAATTGTGAAAGTTATAGATACATGAATAAGATATTATACATTTATATCTTTGAAAGTTCCCATGTAAACATTAAAATCCCAAAAATCATTTGTCGTTTGACTTTTCTTTTGTACTCACAAGTCACAACTAGTAACTTTTCTTTTCCTTCATATTATTTACATTTTGCCCCCTATACTATGTGATGATCGTATCTCACACATGAATGGTAAACTTTTTTTATTTAATTTTATATTATTATCCCATTCACTATGATAAGAAAACAAGTTAAAACATATTACGTACGTAACATTTTTATTAAGGAGGTTTAAATATGAAGAAGTAAATACAAGAAGAGAAGGGGTTCAATATTATATAAATAAAAAATAATTTTAAGTGTGTATAAATAGTGTAATTTTTTGTTGAAGGTGATTCTAATTAACCCCCTCGATCCTATCTAACTCTGCCCCTGATCATGTGTATATATGTACACACACCTATACTAAACAAAAGCAAAGGAATTTTAATATCTTATTTAATTTGATTCTTTTCAATTCAAATTGATCAGATATCATCGTCTCTCAAGTCTCAAACACAACAAAATATAAAATTATGATTTTGACTAATATTTCACACCCATCATACATATTAGATGGAAATAACATTAATACTGAATTTAAGTTTCTAAAAAGTAAAACTAAACGCTGTGTTTTCATGTTATTTACTTTACTTGTGACAAGGCTATTTCTAAGAAGTTTACAGTCGTACTAGTCAACTAAATAGTGAAAACATGATAAATCCGTTTACTAATAGAAAAAATGTTGATTTGGTCTATTTATACTTTTCCTACTTTCCATATAATTTAAAGGGACAAATTGTATGATCAATCAAATGTCAATCATATAAACACAAAGAAATTAAATTCACCAAAATATTATAGTACGTGATAATGACTTTGAACTTATTGTATAAGAATATGAATTCTGTTTCAATACGCCAAAGAATTCCCAATCATACTAGAGTTTAGGGGTCTTTTTTTTTTTTTTTTTTGAGCTGGCAATTTATTATCGGAGAATAAATTAACATTTCAAAAGTATCATTTTCTTAAAGTTTTTTAATTAGTCAATTATTGACTTTTTCTTTCAATTGACAATATTGAACCATATCAGATTATGCACTTGTCACCTTTGATATTCATCACCTTGAAAACATTTTGACAAATGCGATTTTGATTTTTGTGATATTTGATTAAATATCGAACTGTCAAATACCAGACTTCAATTTATTAAAATATGCATTAAAGTATTTTTGCTTGTAATATTTATGATTTTAACAAATTATTAATTGCTAAATTAATTAATTACTCATATATCATGTTAAATTTATGTGTCAAGTCTATATTTGAGGGTAAGAAGTATACTAGTGCATTTTGATGATCTACGGAAAAATTATTTGTAAACTCTACTTTTTTTATTTGTTTAGTATTTGACTCGACATATTTCTTAAGAAGAAATAAATAGAATGATAATTTTATTATATTACCATTTGAATATGATAAGTTCAATTCATTGGGAAATGCATTAGAAAATAACTAAAAATTATTAAATAATATGGATAAATTAAAACTAAGTAATAAATCATCTGTTGATTTTTTAAAACATAAATAAATATAGATATTTATTTTAGTACTAGACAGATAAAAAATAAACGGAGAGGATAAAAAGTAATCCAAGTGACAACTTTTTGGCTAGTGCCGACAAATTGAGTCCATATTT